TAAAACAAAAACATGTTAAAAATCGCTACACAACTATCATTATGTTTCAACACTACAAATGTGTCTCCTTAGGCAATGTTTTGTTTTTAATATCCTAAAATAAATATATATATATATTTAAACTATACATCTGTTCCTCACCATTCAATGCAGCTCTGAGTTTCATGTACATCTCAATGACATCCTATTGTAATCACATTTGTTCATTCCTGCATTAGTTAACACGACCGTTACACCCTGCCAGCGCCTCATGAATAGTGGAAGATTTTATTTTGATCACGTGGAAAGACAAAAGATTTATCAGAGACACTACTTGGTTTCAGTGAACAAAAAAAGAAAAAAAGAAAGATAGATGTGTTTAGCATTTCCAGGTAATAGCTTATACATTATGGATTATTTTGCTTTGAGCACTTTGAGAAGGAAAATACATTGGTTTCAACGAGAAAGAAAAAAAGAAAGAAAGAAAAAAGAAAGAAAGAAATGTTTAGTGTCTCTTTCAGTGAAATGGAAAAGGTTGTTAAATTCAGATATTTTCATTTGTACCCCCTTACTTCTTAAAATAATGGCCAGCAATCATATTTATGATTGCAATATTTTGTAAAAGTTTTTAAGCTCAAATATTTAATGATGTGATAGGAAAATTTCTATAGATATTTTATTGTCATAGAACTCGCCATGAGTTTATGCAATCAGCAATTGAAGAATGAAGATTCATCAGAAAATTAAAATAGAAAAACTCTGGAATTTTCAAAGGTTAAAACTACTTAAATTAAGTCAAATAAAAAACTAGTTATGCAATGATGGAAATTTTGATGTCGAAATACAAAGATACATAGAAATAAAAAACGAATACTTTTGAAAAAAAAGTAAAATATTAAGAAATAGAAAAAATTAATTCAAAATAAATGAAAATCCTCTTATATGGAAGTCAATGGTGGACAATTTAGTTTGGTTTGGTTTATTTTGTTTTATGGCATATCAACATCAATGGGTTATTTAATGCTGATAAGATCTTTATTGTTGCTAATATTTTTCCTCCAGAAATGTATTGCTGCTAATATTTTCCCCCAGAAATGTATTGCTGCTAATATTTTTTCCTCCAAAAATGTATTGTTGCTAATATTTTTTCCTCTACAAATGTATTGCTACGAATATTTTTCCCCCAGAAATGTATTGCTGCTGATATTTTTTCCTCCAAAAATTTATTGCTGCTAATATTTTTCCCCCTGAAATGTATTGCTGCTAATATTTTTCCCCTTGAAATGTATTGCTGCTAATATTTTTCCCCTTGAAATGTATTGCTGCTAATATTTTTTCCTCAATAAATGTTTTACTGGTAATAATTTTTTCTTCAAAAATTCATTACTGGTAATATTTGTAAAAGAATTTATTGCTGGCATTAAAACCTATTTTTAAACTTTCATATGTTTTTGACTTGAGTTTGGGGGGGGGGTTAACTATCTGCCCATAGCTGGGACCCTAAAAGGTGCTACCACCCCAGGTCAGGGTGGACCTGGGAACACCAGCAATTAAGAGGTGGTTCCACGCTCCTCAAAACCTCTTGATCAAAGCCTTGCTGTTGGATGTAGTTTATTGTCTTAAACCAGAACATGGATGTAGTTTATCGTCACACCCAGAAAAGCTGGACAATTGCATATAAAATGGAAACCTGAGATCACACTGATGTGGTTCTATAGATGGATGCTGAAAAATACCATAAATGGAAAATATAAGCAGAAATGAAGTTTTGATAGCACTTAGAACCAGAAAGATATGATTGAAAGTTCTGTGATACATAATGAAGAAAGAGGGTTTGGAGAATTTAACACTCAAAGGACATAGTGAAGCAGGGGTAACTGTGATCATCTAATTAATTACCATATTTTCTGGCTTAAAAGATGCTGTGGCCCAGAAGACACACCCTAATATTGGAAAAAATGTCATTCTCATACAAGAACACATTCAACATACGTCCCTCACATACAGGTGCCATGTATTGTTTACATTAATCACTTGTTCGATTTTGTTTGTATGGCAATGACATACTAGTCAAGAGCAGAAAGGCTCCCACCACTGCTTGAAAACAGAGCATGTTTAAGCTTGTGGCTTGGCTCCAGGAAGGTTTATAGTCTTGGAAATACTTGTAACAGTTAACTTCTGAGGTTCTCCTGCCTCAGAAACAAATTTTGTGTCGCTGACAAAACTAACCTAGCCATTTGTCTCAAAAAGGACCCACAATCGGTTGTGGACTGGGGCAGGAATTGGCTGGTCAACTTTAATGCCTCAGAAACAGAACTTCTCTCTATTAATCACCACAGAGAACCATTCAGAATGTCTGACGCTCAACTCCATGAGAGCACCTCTTTGCGACTGCTTGGTCTCACATTGACTGCTGACCTGAGATGGAACAAATACATTGAGTCAATAGCTTCGTCCTCCACAAGGAAAGTTGGCTCGTTGTGCCGCTCCATGAAATTTTTCCCGCCAGAGTCAATCCTTCAAATCTACAAATCAACCATTCGCCCTTGCATGGAGTATTGCTGCCATATATGGTCTGGAGCCCCTTCTGTTTGCCTGGGGGTTCTTGATAGGCTCCAGAGGCAGATATGCAATATGATTGGTCCTGATCTGGCATCTTGTCTGCAATCACTCTCTCACAGATATGCCATCACTTCCTTCTGTCTTTTTTACAAATACTTTCACGGTAACTGCTCCGATGAGCTACTTTTGCTGGTTCCCAGACTTCAGGAATTCAAGCGCCCTACAAGGCTGGCATCTCACTCTCACCCTTTCACTGTCGAAACTGTTAAATATAGCTGTCTCTTCTACTCCAATAGCTTCATGTCTCGTACCTCTCGCCTGTGGAACTCCCTCCCCTTTTCCTGTTTCGCTGATAGCTATAATCTCCAACTATTCAAATGTAATGTCAATCGATATCTCCAGATGCCCTGATCTATCCCCTATCCTTCTCTTCATCCTTTCCTCTATCACTCCTCTTCGCTCTCGCTCCAACTCTCTGTAACCCCTTGCGTGCTAGTGGCTTCCCGCCTTGCTTGGGGGTGAAACGCTTAAAAAATAAATAAAAGGTTGAATTGAATAGATAGCTAACATTATACAGTATAACCCGGATATAAGAGAGTTGTCGGGACCGGAGAAGAAAGTCTTTTATATCCGGGTTTCTCTTATATCCGGGTTTCATCTATTTTATATACATTAACACAGGCTCTAATTTGGGACCAGAGAAAATCTCTCTTATATCCGGGTTTCTCTTATATCCGGGTCTCTTATATCCGGGTTACACTGTAGTATAATGACTTAACATACAAATCCATGTCTCTATCAGTCAAGCCAAAGCTTACTTTGATGCCTGACATTTGTCTTCGAAGACATACACGTATTTTTCAGGGTATTTTTTAGGAAGAAAAGTGCGTCTTTTAAGCTGAAAATTATGGTAGTTTATTCAATAGATGACAAAAAAAAAATGACAAGGAGAGATAGTAAATGATTAAAAATTATTTTAAGAATCAAAAGACAGGAAGTTGTGGAGAGTCATTATTTCCCAAGTCCTGAGATGACATGGCACACAAAAACAGCATCATTTGCTCAGTTCCAAAATTGATGCACCATAGAATTTCAAGATGGACAACAGAATGAAAAAATGGCTCAATGAGTCCATTATCCAAAGTACATTTTTTTTTAAAAATTTTTCACCATTCTCTGTCTAAGAGAAATGCTGGAAAACACTTTGAGTAAACAATTTCTCTTTTTTGTTTTTTTTTTCTAAGCTGAAAATTAAAAACAAAAAAAATTGTCTCTAGTCTAACTAGACAAAGATATTGGATTAATAAAATCATGTATTTTTTTTTTATATATATAATTTACTTTGAAAATCACTTTTGAAAAAAAAAATTATAGATTACGTTTTCATTTCTGGCGATATTTATTTTCTTTTTACTTTTTGCTTTCATATTTTCTAATTTTTCCATCTTTTGTTTCATCACAGAATTTTTTTTTTCTTTTCTTTTTAGTAAAGAAGAAGCAGGTGAAGAGAAAACAAATTGTTCTTTGGTTTGCCTTTCTCTTTGGTTTGTCTTTTCTTCGTCGTGTGGAACAAAAGAACACGAGATTCTATTGCCATCTGAATGAATGGAAGGAAGTACAGAGGGAAGGAAGAATGATGAAAGGGAAGGAAATCAAGAAGGAAGAAAGGAAAGAAGTTTAGAATGAAGGAAGAAAAAATGGAGGAAGTTTAGAAGGAAGGAAGAGGGAAGTTTGGAAGGAAGGAAGGAAGGAAGGAAGGAAGGAAGGAAGGAAGAAAGAAAGGGGGAAGTTTAGAAGGAAGGAAGGAAGGAAGCAAGGAAGGAAAGAAGGAAGGGGGAAGATTGGAAGGAAGGAAGGAAGGAAGGAAGGAAGGAAGGAAGGAAGGAAGGAAGGAAGGAAGGGGAAGTTTAGAAGGAAGGAAGGAAGGAAGGAAGGAAGGAAGGAAGGAAGGGGAATGGGGAAGATTAGAAGGAAGGAAGGGAAGATTAGAAGGAAGGAAAGAAGGAAGGGGAAGTTTAGAAGGAAGGAAGGAAGTTTAGAAGGAAGGAAGGGGAAGTTTAGAAGGAAGGAAGGAAGGAAGGAAGGAAGGAAGGAAGGAGGGAAAGAATGAAGGAAGGAAGGAAGGAAGGAGGGAAGGAAGGAAGGAGGGAAGGAAGGAAGGGGAAGTTTGGAAGGAAGGAAGGAAAAAGAAGGAAGGAAGGAGGAAGTTTAGAAGGAAGGAAGGAAGGACGGAAGGAAGGGGGAAGATTAGAAGGAAGGAAGGGGAAGTTTAGAAGGAAGGAAGGAAGGAAGGAAGGAAGGAAGGAAGGAAGGAAGGAAGGGAAGTTTAGAAGGAAGGAAGGAAGGAAGGAAGGAAGGAAGGAAGGAAGGAAGGAAGGGAAGTTTAGAAGGAAGAAAGGAAGGAAGGAGGGAATGGGGAAGATTAGAAGGAAGGAAGGGGAAGATTAGAAGGAAGGAACGAAGGAAGGGGGAAGTTTAGAAGGAAGGAAGGAAGGAAGTTTAGAAGGAAGGAAGGGGGAAGTTTAGAAGGAAGGAAGGAAGGAAGTAAGGAAGGAAGGAAGGAAGGGAGGAAGGAAAGAGGGAAAGAATGAAGGAGGGAAGGAAGGAAAGACAGAAGGAAAGAAGGAAGGAGGGAAGGAAGGAAGGGAGGAAGGAAGGAAGGAAGGAAGGAAGGAAAAATGGGAGAAAGAAAGATTAGAAGGAAAGAAGAAGGGAAGGAAGAAAGGAAGGGAGGAAGTTTGGAAGGAAGAAAGGAAATGGGTAAGTTTAGGAGGAAGGACTTTAGGAAAGAAAATTTGGAGCAAGAAAGTTTAGAAGGAAGGATAAAAGGAAAGGAGAAAGGAAGGAAGAAAGCCAAAAAGGGTGGAAGGATGTTTAGTAGAAAGGAAGGAAGTTTGAAAAGAAGCAGAGAAGTTTAGAAGGACGTAAGGATGGCAGAAATGAAGGAAAGAAGTTTGAAAGAAAGGAAGAGAGAAAAGAAGGAAGTTTAGAAGAAAATAAGGAAGGAATGCTTACGAGATTACAATGAAGGAAAGCAGAAAGGAAGGAAGGAAAGAAAGAAGCTTAGAAGCAATTAAAGAAAGAAGAGAAAAATAGGAGGTTTAGAAGGAAATTTAGAAGGAAGGAAGAAAGGAAGGAAAATGGGAGAAAGGAAGTTTAGATGGAAGGAAGGAAGTTTAAAATGAAGGCAGAAATGAAGGAAGTTTAAAAGAAAGGAAGAACAAAAGTGAAGAAGAAAGGAAGGAAGGAGGAAAGCAAAGAAGAAAGGGAGGAAGGAAAATAGAAGGAAATTTAGAAGGAAGTAAGAATGGCAGAAGTGAAGGAAAGAAATTTGGCAGGCGGGAAGACAGAAAAAAGTTTAGAAGAGATTAAGGAAGGAATGTTTACAAGATTAGAATGAAGGGAAGCAGAAAGGAAGGAAGAAATGAAAGAAACTTAAAAGGAATTAAAGAAAGAAAAAGGGAAGTTTAGAAGAAAGGCAAGTAGAAATGAAAGAAAGAAGTTTGGAAAGAAGGAATTTTAGAAAGAAAGAAGGCATAAAAGAAGGTACTATACAAGAAAGGAAGGAAGGAATAAAGGATGGAAGGAAGGCAAAAATAAAAAAAGAAAGTTTAAAACGGAAGAAAGAAAAGAAAGGAATGAAGTTTAGAAGGAAGAATAAAGAAAACTAAAGGAAGAGAGAAAGAAAGAGAATAAAAGTAAAAAATTAAAAAATGAGTCAAAGAATTAAAAAAAAAATAAACTCAAAGTGAAAAAATCAAGCAATGTTTCAGTTTGTTTTCCTTACCAGAAGGATCTTCAAGGATATTCATATATATATATATATATATATATATATATATATATATATCAAATCAATAAACCACGACAAACCCAACGCAAAGCAAAACACAATCAATTTTTTCCACTGACAATTAAACCTGGGTATGACGGTAAATTACATCCAGTAACAAGGGCTCTAATCAAGAGATGGGAGGTTTTGAGGAGCATGGAACCAACTTTTAATTGCTGCTGTTCCCAGATCCACCCTCACCTGGGGTGGTAGCACCTGTTAGGATCCCAGCAATAGGCAAATAAAGAACACCCCCCACCACCACCAAATAAAAACCAAACACTATAAAAGGAGAAAAAAATGCATTTTCATTGTAAATATATTTCAATACATTTTTATATAAAAAAAAACAAAAAACTTACCAACAATTAAAATTTATAATAAAATTACTAACAACAGAGTTTTAAAGCAAAATGACTAACAATACATTTTCTCTGGAGTTGATGACATACAATGGCGTTCAAAATATTTAGATTTCAGCATTGAAAAGGGTTGATATGCTGCTAGACAGAATCAATCAACCAAAAGACAAACATGAAAGAATCCTTCAGTATCTGTCTATATTTCTGAGATGAGGTATTATGTACACTATTTACATTATTCGGACTATTATCCTCATCTTTGTTGCCATATTTATCCGATCCTTCGGTATCTGTCTATATTTCTGAGATGAGGTATTATGTACACTATTTACATTATTCGGACTATTGTCCTCATCTTTGTAGCCATATTTATCTGATCCTTCAGTATCTGTCTATATTTCTGAGATGAGGTATTATGACACTATTTACATTATTCGGACTATTGTCCTCATCTTTGTAGCCATATTTATCCGATCCTTCAGTATCTGTCTATATTTCTGAGATGAGCTATTATGTTTACATTATTCAGACTATTGTCCTCATCTTTGTTGCCATTTTATCCGATCCTTCAGTATCTGCCTATATTTCTGAGATAAGGTATTATGTACACTATTTACATTATTCGGACTATTGTCCTCATCTATTTTTATCTGATCCTTCAGTATCTGTCTATATTTCTGAGATGAGGTATTATGTATTTTACATTATTCGGACTATTGTCCTCATCTTTGTTGCCCATTTATCCGATCCTTCAGTATCTGTCTATATTTCTGATTATTATGTACACTCATTCGGACTATTGTCCTCATCTTTGTTACCATATTTATCCGATCCTTCAGTATCTGTCTATATTTCTGAGATGAGGTGTACATTATTTACATTATTCAGACTATTGTCCTCGTCTTTGTTGCCATATTTATCCGATCCTTCAGTATCTGCCTATATTTCTGAGATGAGGTATTATGTTACACTATTTACATTATTCGACTATTGTCCTCATCTATGTTATCTGATCCTTCAGTATCTGTCTATATTTCTGAGATGAGGTATTATGTACACTATTTACATTATTCGGACTATTGTCCTCATCTTTGTTGCCATATTTATCCGATCCTTCAGTATCTGTCTATATTTCTGAGATGAGGTTGTCCTATTTACATTATTCGGACTATTGTCCTCATCTTTGTTACCATATTTATCCGATCCTTCAGTATCTGTCTATATTTCTGAGATGAGGTATTATGTACACTATTTACATTATTCAGACTATTGTCCTCGTCTTTGTTGCCATATTTATCCGATCCTTCAGTATCTGCCTATATTTCTGAGATGAGGTATTATGTACACTATTTACAATATTCGGACTATTGTCCTCATCTTTGTCGCCATATTTATTACAAGGTTTCGGCTGTCGTATGCTCCGGCCTTCTTCATGTGGTTGGAATGTTGAACTGAACCCTTTATTTCATTCACCGGGGTAGACTGTTCTAGTTCCACCTGTCATGTTTAATGGGTGTCAGTTATCAGTTATCTCCTGTTAATTTCCATTTCTCTCTGAATGTTCTCCACTGACTTAACCCGGTATTGAACTCACACTTTTTGGGTCCTGTCACTGGATCTAACTAATGCCCTTTTCCACTGTTGCATGTGTTCTTGTGGACATCTTTGTAGGAAATAAAGGGTTCAGTTCAACATTCCAACCACCTGAAGACAGCTGGAGCGTACGACGGGCAAAACGTTGTAATAAATATGGCGACAAAAATGAGGACAATAGTCCAAATAATGTAAATAGTGAAAGAACTCTTTCATGGCATTAATCCAGATATTATCCCATATTCCCTTTGAGTTATTGTGTTTTTGAACTATCTGTTAATGTGTAACTTGTGCAGGAATAGTAGTACTGCCCTGGGTGAAGTCTCTGGTTGCTGGAAGACCCTATGTCTGGCAACAGGACTCTGCACCATGCCACACAAGCAGAAGAACCCAGTCATGGTTGTCAGACAATTTCTGCGACCACATCACCCTTCACATTTGGTCACCTACCTCCCCAGACTGCACCCCCTTTGATTATTATGTGTGGGGCGCAGTTGAGCGAGAGACCAGCAAAACTCCTTGTAACGCCAAGGATGAATTGATGGCAAGGATTATGGCAGCATTCAGCAACTTAAGCAAGGAGACCATTCAGAATAGCTGCAGATGATTCCAAAGTTGTCTGGAGGCCAATGACGATTTGAACTAATGTTAATGTGTAACTTGTGGAGTAAACTTTAAAAAAAATATCAACCAAGTTATTTAAAATGAAATAAAAACCAATAAATAATTAAATGATAGTCTTCTGTATTTACATTTGGTATCTACTGCCAGTAATATGTACAGGGCATGGACACTGTAATTACTAAGAAATATGCATTTTTTGACAGAAAGATTTCAATTGAACATTTTTACCGTATGTATTTTTAAAAAAAATATTCATTCCTCATGAAAATTAAATGACAACATTGTAGTTATTGGTGGGTCAACTTTGTCTCCTGATAAACAATTTTTTTTGACCCAGTCTGCTAGGGTGGTAGCACCTGTTAGGTTCCCAGCTATTGGTAAATATTGAACCCCAAAACTAAAAACTCTCTCTCTCTCTCTCTCTATATATATATATATATATATATATATATATATATATATATATAAGCAAATGTAAATGGATATAGATCCGACAGAATGAAGAAAAATTTGGAAAAAACAAACAAAAATCCTTAAATGCAATTATGTTGTTTAAAATGAATGAAATGTCGACGTCTTACGTTTCGGTTTAATAAACCTTTTTCAAGACAATATTCATTAAAATACAATTCAGTTCAATTTGACTAAGACGATGGACATAAAAAACAAGTCTTATCCAAAACTTATCCTTTTTTAGCGAGATTAATGCTCGACGAGCACACACATAAAAATTTTAGATCCTAATAGAATTCTTTTCATTTTCTTTTTCATTCAAAATAATCAAAAATTTTTAGGAATACATTTTGAAAGCGTCGCCCATGTGACGACAACGTGACCATGCTAAACGGAAAGCTGATCATTTTAAAATTTTCAGTTATCTGTTTTGGATAAGACTTGTTTTTTATGTCCATCGTCTTTGTCAAATTGAACTGAATTGTATTTTAATGAATATTGTCCTGAAGAAGGTTTATTAAACCGAAACGTCAGACGTCGACATTTCATTCATTTTAAACAACATAATTGCATTTAAGGATTTTTGTTTGTTTTTTCCAAATTTTTCTTCATATATATATATATATATATATATATATATATATATATATATATATATACATGTTCTATATTAGTTGATTTTATAAAGTGCTTGATAGGATGATCTAGAGCTAAATTATTATTAGTATTAGTAGCAATCCTATAGGTCTAAGAAACTATACTCGTTCGGAAAACCTGCGGTGTCTTGATTGCAAATAATCAAACAAATACCAAAGGGAAAAAAGGTATATATAAAAGAAAGAACCAAGAACATGTACGTTAGCCGAAAATAATCGTCCAGCTTGCAAGTTCAAAGCCCAAAGAAAAAAAAACCCATACGAGTACTCAAAACAACTAAATAAAGTGCTCAATACAATGAGTAGAGCAGTTGTTTTAAAAGAGGACAGAAAACGTGATGTCAAAATCTGTATACACATTGGAACAGGGAAAGATGCCTTCCAAAATCTAAGCAAAGTATTAAGAAACAGAAGAATTTCACAAGAAACAAAGCAAAGAATGCTGAACTCTTATGCAATAACAATTCTCCGCTACAGCAATGAATGCCGAACAATCTCCTCACAGATGAAGAAATGAAATGATACATCAGAAATGTTATTCTACAGAAGGATGCTGAGAATACCATCAACTGAACAAGCAGTTAAAAAAAAAATGGAAACCAAAAAAACACTTATGTCTAAAATCCGAAAGAGAAATTTCTGGGACACCTAATGAGGAAAGACGACTTGGAGAATTTGACACTCACAGGGTATACTGAAGGCAAGGGTTACAGAGGAAAACAGTGAGTGACTAAATATTTTTCTTTCTTAATCTAATGACCAACAGTTTATCCGTTCTGTCAAAGTAGATAATTTGAAGGTTTTCATATGTGATTCTTCAAATATATTGTTTGCAATTATTAATATGTGGTAATTAATGGGGGATCAGTTTATTAATTAATAACAATACAAAACCGATCCCCCATTTAATAACCAATTGAATCTTACAACCAGTTAATCCACGCTGTCAAAAATTTAATGTAAATTCATACTTTTTTAAGAAGGTTTTCATATGTGAGTTTTTAAATATATTTGTTTGCAATTATTACTATATGGTATTTAATGGGGGATCAATTTATTACTTAATAATAATACAAAACTGATCCCCCATTTCATGACCTGTACAAACTTAATACAAGTTTATCCATGCCGTCATAGAAAATAATTTAAGTTTTCACTCTTATAAGAATGTTTTCATATGTGCGTCTTTAAATATATTTGTTTGCAATTATTAATGTGTGGCAATTAATGGGGGATCAGTTTATTACTTCATGTCAATAGAAAACTGACCCCCACTTTATGTCTAGTAGAGTCTTAATAACAGTTTATCCATGCTGTCAAAAATGATATTGTTAAATTCTTATTAGTATTAGAGAGCCTTTGCATATGTGAATATTTAAATATATTTGTTTTCGGTTATTAATATGTAGTAATGGTGGGGGATCAGTTTATTACTTAATAACAATAGAAGACCGATCCTCCACTTTATGACCAGGATAATCTTAATACCAGTTTATTGATACTGTCAAAAATTATATTTTGTTAAATTTTTACTCTTCTGAGAATGTTTTCATATGTGAGTAGTTAAATATGTTTGCAATTATAAAAATGCAGTAATTAATGGGGGATCAGTTTATTACTTAGTAACGATAGAAAAACGAGCTCCCACTTTGCGACCAGTAGACTCTTAATATTAGTTTATTCATGCTGTCAAGTTCTTATAAGAAGGTTTTCATATATGAGTCTTTAAATATATTTGTTTGCAATTATTAATATGTGGCATTTAATGGGGGATCGGTTTATTACTTAATAACAATACAAAACCGATCCCCCACTTTATGACTAGTGTAATCGACAGACTAGTTTATGCATACTGTCAAAAATGATATTTTGTTAAATTCTTATTACATGAGGTGCAACATTAAATATATTTTTTCTAATTATTAACATGTGGTAATTAATGAGGGATCAGTTTATTACTTAAAACAATAGAAAACTGATCCCCCACTTTTTGACATTTAGTAACTTAATAACAGTTCATCCATGCTCTCAAAAGTGATATTTTTTTAAGTTCTTATTCATATGAGGTGTTTATATGTGCAACATTAAATATATTTATTTCTAATTATTAACAAGTGGTAATTAATGGGGGATCAGTTTATTACTTAAATCAATAGAAAACTAATCCCCACTTTATGACCTCTAGTAACTTAATGCCAGTTTTGTTAAGTATTATTAAGTCTTATAAGAAGGTTTTCGTATATGAGTCATTAAATATATTTAGTTGCAATTATTATGGAGCTTATTTTTACCAGTGTTTGTCAGAACAAAGTCACTGCCACCTGGTGACGCTAATGCAAGGGAGATAACTCTTGTAGGAGACATGAAGGAAGTGACTTACCACAAGTTTAGCCGATCATCCAAAGTAATGAGCGAGCTGAGCAGAGACCTAAAAAGAAAGAAAGAAAAAGAACGGAAAATTAGAAATTGAGTATTTCTTGATGAGTAAGAAATAAAATTCAATTACAAAAAAAAGGTCGAAATTAGAAATATTTCTAAGCGTCTTATATATTTGACACGAGAAAGAAAAAAATTGAAAGCTAACTCAGATACTATTTAAATTATTCAGATTATTGTCCTCATCTTTGTTGCCATATTTATCCTATCCTTCAGTATCTGTCTATATTTCTGAGATGAGGTATTATGTACACTATTTACATTATTCAGACTATTGTCCTCATCTTTGTTGCCATATTTATCCGATACTTCAGTATCTGTCTATATTTCTGAGATGAGGTATTATGTACACTATTTACATTATTCGGACTATTGTCCTCATCTTTGTTGCCATATTTATCCGATCCTTCAGTATCTGTCTATATTTCTGAGGTGAGGTATTATGTACACTATTTACATTACTCGGACTATTGTCCTCATCTTTGTTGCCATATTTATCCGATCCTTCAGTATCTGTCTATATTTCTCAGATGAGGTATTATGTACACTATTTACATTATTCGGACTATTGTCCTCATCTTTGTTATATTTATCCGATCCTTCAGTATCTGTCTATATTTCTGAGGTGAGGTATTATGTACCGGACTATTGTCCTCATCTTTGTTGCCATATTTATAAGATCCTTCAGTATCTGCCTATATTTCTGAGATGAGGTATTATGTACACTATTTACATTATTCGGACTATTGTCCTCATCTTTGTTGCCATATTTATAAGATCCTTCAGTATCTGTCTATATTTCTGAGATGAGGTATTATGTACACTATTTACATTATTCGGACTATTGTCATCATCTTTGTTGCCACATTTATTACAACGTGTCGGCCGTTGTATACTCCGGCCTTCTTCAGGTAGTTGGAATGTCAAACTGAACCCATTTATTTCAATCACTGGGGTAAACTGTTCTAGTTCCACATGCCATGTCTAATGGATGTCAGTTATCTGTTATCTCCTGTTAATTCACCTCTCCAAGTTCTCCACTGCCTTAACCAGGTATTGAACTCACACTGTTTGGGTCCTGTCACTGGATCTAACTAACGCTTTTATCCACTGTGCTATGTGTCCTTGAAGACATATGGCACAGTGGATAAAGACTTTGGTTAAATCCAATGACAGGACCCAAAGATTGTGAGTTCAATACCTAGTTGAAAGAATTAATACTTTGGATAGTAAATATTTACAGGTTCCCCCCAACATTTATCCCACAAACAATATTGGTGGACTCAATGCGAGTCCAGGTAAAAAATGAATAACACAAACGATAAAGCCTGTATTCAGTTATGTGCCATGCGTGATACACGCTTAGGCGATCATGTATCTTTCGATACATGACTGACGAGGCAGATTTTTTTTTTCCACACTAGGTTGCCATTTCTTTTTGCGGTAGACCCGTTGCCATCCAAGGCTATAGAACCCAGTCTGTCCTGCTATTTACCCATAGCTAGGGGGAAGACAAGAAGATTCATATCTTTCGCAACGGTATTAGCACGTAAGTGAATGTAATGGTTTCGACTGGAATTCGAACTCGGCTCTCCGATTCCTCAATCCGAGCCGCTATCCATTACTCCACCGTTAAGAAAAGAATTGTGGGGGAAAAGAAAAAATGTAAGTAGCTATAATAAGAATGTGCTTCATTGGTTTGTGTGTGTGTGCGCGTGAGGGAGAAAGAGAAAGAGAGAAAGTGAGAGAGAGAGAGAGAGAGGGAGAGGGAGAGAGAGAGTGTGTGTGTGAGATATACAGAGAGAGAGAGAGAGAGAGAGAGAGAGAGTACAAAAGTCAAAAGAAAAAAAACATGAAAATGAACGTGCACCCGTGGAGGACACATTTTACTCACACGAGGGTACATCTGGAAGCCTGAGCCAAAAAGCTGTAAAAGACGCTTGTAAAAAAGCAAGTAAAAATAGCAAAACCTATAATAATAATTCCTTAACTCAAGAATTGCGTCTAACAGGATCAAATAGCTAATAGCCGAAACGTTGTGAGTATAGCAACCAAGATAAGGATGTTAGCCAAAACAACAAAGCATAACAATTCCTCATCTAATTTCAACCTAATATTTTTTTTTATTTGATATGTGAAATAATAAAATCTTTCAGTTGATGGAGCCATGATATTTATGGTTTCCACATCCTGGGCAGTTTCCTAATAATGGAGTTTAAAAAAAAATGCATGGCTTTTGAAATAATCTGCTACTTTGAAATGTGAATATGCCTGCTGAGCAATGATTGATATATTAGGTTGGTGCAAAAATAATGACGTAATAATGTCGTTTTTTGACGTTAAAAATACATAAAAACGACATTATTACGTCATTATTTTGCACCAACCTAATAAAATGTCTTAAGTATGGAATATTGAATGGTCAACAAAGCCAGTGTGGTTGGCCACTGCTACTGTGACAATCTAGGGCTGAAATCCTGAAGTCTTAAACCGTCATCAGGTCGGTGGGGAATTTATGGGTTTCCTGACTCAGGCAGTGGGAACGTTTCTTTATTTGCGTTGCTTTCATAATCAAAGTCTCTCCCAGTTTGTTTTCAATCTCATACGTGGTCCGGCAGGTGGAGAGGTCGGTTGAATTACTTTCTTTTAACTCGCTCTCAGTTTTGAAAAGTCTCTGCAGTTGACTTTGTTCATATAGTTCGTTTTATGTCTTTGTATCCAGAAAGCATGGTGTAGTAAAGGATAGCCGCTTGGACTGAGAAATCAGAGAGTCGGGTTCGAATTCCAGTCAGAGCCATTACATTCACCTACGTGCTAATACCACAGCTATGGAACACGTATTAGCACATAAGTGAATATCAGTCAGTTATGTGTCTTGCGTGATACACGCTTACGTGATCATGTTTCTTTCAATACATGACTGACGAGGCAGATTACTTTCTGCCAATGATATAGAACCCGGTCTGTCCTTCTGTTTTCTAATAATGGAGTTAAAAAAAAATGTCTGCTGGACAGACCGGGTTCTATATCATTGGCAGAAAGAAATCTGCCTCAGTTATGTGTCATTGATATTATCTTACGTGCTAATAATACCATTGGGAAAGGTATGAATCCTCTTCTTCTGCCCCCCCCCAACTATGGGTAAATAGCAGGGCAGACCGGGTTCTATAACCTTGATGGCAACCTACTGCGGGGAAAAATCTGTCTCATCAGTCATGTATTGAAAGATACATGATCGCGTAAAATGTGTATCCTGCATGACATAACCCAATATTCACTTACGTGCTAATACCCTTGGGAAAGGTGCGAATCCTCTTCTTCTCCCCCCAGCTATGGGTAAATAGCAGGACAGATTGTGTTCTATATCCTTGGATGGCAACTGGTCTACTGTAGAAAGAAATGGCAACCAATTGTGGGAGAAATCTGCCTCGTCAGTCATGTATTGAAAGCTACATGATTGCCTAAGCGTTTATCAAGCATGGCACATAACTGACGATATTTACTTACGTGCTAATACCCTTGGGAAGGTATAAATCCTGAAATAGCAGGACAGACCGGGTTCTATAACCTTGGATGGCAACTGGTCTACCTCCTGTCTACTCTACATGATCGCTTATGCGTGTACCACACTTGGCATATAACTGACTGATCCAGAAGAAAAATATCACCTCGGAGTGCTTGTTATGTTTACGTGATCTGTGGTTACGTGATCTTATATATTTTCTCCCGTAACAATTTTCTGCTGACTCGAATATGAGTCCGAGTAATAAATGATTAACACTAAACAGTATACAAAACAAACGACAGTGTATGTATTGACAAAAGTATATAATGAAGAAAACGCATAGAAAAAATTTAATAGTCCGAATTATGTAAATAGTGTAACTTTCTCTTTAAAATAACATTTAAAAATACTCTGATCAAACTTTCGCACACATCTTTATAAAACAAAATTGTAATATTCTGCATATGAAAAATATATTTGTCGTAATTGAATATCGCTATCATTTGATTTTTTTATTTAAATTTATGTTTTGGTTTCATGCAGACCGGGTTCTAACCTTCTTAATTCACTAAAAAATGAAACATTATTAATATAACAATCAAAGGAATGGACCAACAAGCTGGTTCAAATCCTAGAAAGAAAGAAAATAAGCAAACCAGGCTCCAAACGGGTTTTTTGAAAAATTTTCTGTCAAATCATTTCAGTTCTCATGTATTCAAAGTTTTGACCCGAGTTAAAACACTGATTGATTCGGAGCCAATCACGTGATACAAGTTTTCAATAAATATAAACGTTGTTCCCGGCATTGAGACGAACCAAGATTTCAACTCATTCAAATGTCAGACTTAACGTTAATTACTTAAATTACCCCAGTTGGGAAAGCTCCTCCATGGTTCCCCAATTGTTCACTCGCTTCTTCTCCCCACTATAAATGACTTCTTGCCTCGTTCTCTTTTTCATTTTTTGTATTTCAGGACAGATTTAAAATGTGATTTCTCGTAGAGATCTGCATTTTCGCCCATTATGTGAAACGCCATGAAACACACATACACGTACGTACGAACACTCACCAATATACAAACTGGCAACACAAAACACAAATGTTAATGGAATTGTACAATTTGCCTTGTTTAGTCATGTATTTGTTGATATATATATATATATCGGTCTTGTTTGTTTTCTTTACATTTTCTCAACTGAGGCCGCCATTTTCTTAATAGACCTTCTTCTAGCAGGAAATAAACCGCACGTTTTCCTAATTCAACAACACGCCCAAACCCACACGGTCCTGTACAGAACACTCACCCAAACAATTTATTTATTTCACTACAAACATCGCAAGTTAAAACTCTGGTCATAGAGCAACAACTTTGTAGAAATCACAGTAATTCGAGAACAATACTTGTAATTTTATACAAAAACAGAACTGTTTAATTTTCCCACAATTACAATAATACTTAAGAACACTTTTTCATTTTCATACACACAGTTCAACAACTTCAATTCTTTCAAACCAAAACTTTAATAACGCTACAAACAAAACTTTGGAACATTTTTAAAACTACTTGAACAACAAATATTTGTACCTTTATTGTGTTATATTGTAGAATTTGATTTCTACATTCTTTGTTTTAAATCTGTTAAATGAGGATCACTGCTAAATATTCTCAGTTTGTGCTGAACCCATTAAAATCGGCTCCAGAGTTCGGTGCGAAACAATGCTTTCTGATTGGTCCATAAATAATATTGCCAAGTTTCTGCCTACGTTCATATGGTTGACCTCGATTTGACCCGTTCACAGTTCAACGCGCCAAAAAATGCAAACGTTCTCAAGCCTCCCAAGTGATCAAGAAAAATTATAAATATAAACTTTGACCCGACGTAGCGAGTCCTTAAAATAATCAACTCGTCACACGAATTCTTCGAGACCTAACTTTCTCGCTAAAAGTTAATTTTTTATTAACATCAACCCGGCTTGTGGAATTCAATTTCTTTTCAACATCAACCCATCTAGTGACCAATTCAACCAAGATTCAGAAACTCACTCAATATCTTAACAACATAAAAGAAATCGTAACTATATCAGTCAAAGTGAGACAATTCTACAGTAAGTCAAGCAATCTATTTCATTCAATTTCACCATCAACATAAACTGTTTAATTTCTTACTAGAGCTTTAGCATAACACCTTTTATATTACCCTTGATCACACAACCAAGAACTCTAAAGTTTTAAACAACTTTATTATATCATGTGTACTTTTTGTTCTATAAAAATATTTTTTGTTAAAACAAATATCTGCCTATTTGATTATTTCTCTTGTTGTTATTGTCTTTGTTGCATTTGATTTAGTAAAAATAGTAGAAGGTCAGTTTAATTTGTATTTCGTCACCGATACAGATTGGCCAACCCACTATAACCCTTCTCCATGATTTTCTCTCATACATTCATATCTGCTCGATGCGTATCCAAATGTAGACAAATGACGTCATACATTATGAAATGGACAAAGTCCGACAATTATTATATTTTTATAGATACAAATATTTAAGTAAATGCAATATTAAATGTAAATCTTTAAATAAATTCATGGAGAATTGTAGTTTAAAAACAGTAAAATCGACCTTACTAACCGAAACTCTCCTCTGTGGCTCAATCGGTAAAAGCACGTCAGGCTATATGACGGTTCCGTATGGGATACAGGTTCGATTCCTGTCGTAGGACTCATAATTTCTATGAAAATTTCTCAGACATTCAGGCCGGTAAATGTTGTTTAATACTGTTTATTCTAAATAGAGCATTTACTTAAATATTTGATCAATCAAAAGAATGTATAAACATAAAAATGTCTTAAACTAATTGTCAGACTTTGTCCATTTCATAATGTGTAACGTTATTTGTTTACGTTTGAATACGCTTTGAGCAGATATGAATGTATGTGAGAGATTCATGGAAGATTGTAGTTTAAAAACAGTAAAATCGACCTTGCGAACCGAACGCTCCTCTGTGGCCAAATCGGTTAAGGCACGTCAGGCTATATGACGGTTCCGTATAGGATACAGGTTCGATTCCTGTCGGAGGACGCATATTTTCTATGACAATATCTTGGACATTCAGGCCGGTAAATGTTTTAATATTGTTTATTATATACAGAGCATTTACTTAAATATTTGTATCTATAAAAAGAATGTATAAACATAAATGTCTTAAAATAATGATGATACCTCAACTCAAAAATACTGACTAAAATGATAAAATCGGTAATAGCTGGAACATCGTGTGTATGACACGGAAGATGAGAATGCTAGTCAAGAGCATATAATAATGATAATTCTGCATCTAATTTCAACACAATATTTTTTTTCATTTGATCTTTGATATAATAAAATCTTCCGATTGATG